ACACAGTTAGCATTTTTAAAGAAATACATTTTTTTAATATTTTCAGGAACTTCCACGCGCCGAGGCACTTTTAGGCAGGGAAAACAACGAGGAAGCTGATCTGCAAAATCTGGACAAGGATGTTACCGTGAAGAAGGTGGAAATTAAGAAACAACATGCCACGCCCAACCAAGTCGCCGCCACTGGCTCAGATGACAGTGACTCTAGCGATAGTGACAACTCCTACTCGGATGTCGATGATGCCGAGGAAATCAAATATCCCAGTAAAGTACCACTGGAATTGGATCTGAGCGATTTGGCTGCCGCCTTATTGCAAAACAACAAAAAGTAAGTAGAAACATACATACAAGTAAATAAAAATATATTATGTACTACCCTACATATTGGAACTCACATCACATAGATCGCGCATGAACTGTGTCGTTGAACGTAAGCATGCCGAAGAGATTGTGGACTCACCTTCCAAGACTGTCGCACTACCTTTCGGCGTCAATCTCACCACCGATCCCAAGAAGGCGCGCATCACCGGCGAACGCATCTCAATTTACTGCGAGGGTGGCAATGAGAATAAGGAGCACGAAAATGCCGAATCATCGCGCAACAACAATCGCGAGGAGGATGATGATAACGATGATGAGATCGAATCGAATCGTCCCATGTTCATTCCATACCAACGCATACCCATACCATTCGGTCAGATCCCACAACGTTTCCCCCTCACACACATGCCACAACGCATGATGCCACCAATGCCACCAATGTCCGCCATGTCGCAGGAATCTCAAGCACCACCACAACAGGCTTACATCCGTCAAATGCCTCCACCATTCCAGCACTTGCCAATGCGTCCACCAATGCCACCACAAGTGATGCAAGCACCACATCCCGATTCACAGCAATCACAACAGAATATGTATGTGCCACAAACCGTACGCATTCATGTGCAACAAATACCCATACGCGAAATTCACATGGCCGATGATATGCCAGTGCAGATACCATCACAACAACAGGAATTGCCACATTTGCAAATCCAACGTTTGCCACTTGGTGTTGCTCTGCAACGTGCCGGCATAACTGCTGAGGATTTGCGCAACATTCAACGCATGGCCGAGGATCGCATCACCGATGAGTTGCGTCGCCTTGCTGCCGAAGAAGCCGCTGAGTCAGCTGAGAGCAACAACAACAACAGCAGCAACAACAGGGATAGTGAGGAAGCTGATGACTCATCGTCCGACGTGCAAATGTCCAGCGAGCAGGAGCACATTATTCGCCAGCAACAACAACAACAACAACAGCAACAGCAGCGACAACAACAACAACAACAGCTTCCACAATTGGCGCATCCCCAACAGCCCGCCATTGCGCCCGAGGAAGCGATGCGCATGCAACAAGCGCCACCACAGCGTCTGATCCTGCAACCCTTGCCTGAACAGCCACGCGACACCATGACCCCACCCATGCCCGATCAGCCACAAATGATGCAATACGGACGCGCCAACTTCGGCCGCAGTCTGGCACAGCCCGTCCGCATACCGGTACCAATTCTACAGCCACATAACGAGGGCGAGATCGGCTCTTCCGTCGAGTCGGAGAGGCCGCATTGTAAGTTTATTCTTATACTAAGCATTACATAAAAATTTATATATTTATTAATATGTGTTTTTTCTCTCCTTCGCATGACGCAGTTGTTCAGCCGCGTTCCGTTTAAACATTCAGCCTGTGATTGCTGCTGCTTTCGGTCGTTGATAAAGTAATAAGGTTAGAAGTGCCAATCCCACACTCGCTTTGAAGTCTCTATATGTATGTACATATGCCCGTCACTCCGTCTGTGCAACCGGAAGCAGCTAAACGCCAAAAAATGTCAATGACATTATCGTTTCTTTTCTGCACAACAATAACAACAACAACAACAAAAACAGCAAACATTACAGCTGATCCATCTTATATGCGAAAAATATCCATGGTTAACGGTTATATTGGGATAAACACACACACTAATTACAGAAAGTGCGAAAATTTTGACATCTTTGGTTCTATATATTTTATATTTTCCGATTCTATTTTATCAATACTGATCTGATCTTATATTTGTATAATTGTGTGCGTGCGAAATATGTACGCACACCATCAACTGCATGTACTTTATACATATATATATATTAATAAATGTACATATGTATTGTATTGTTTAAATATAAAAGCAGCCGCATTTGTGTTACTTTCAATCTGTAATATGTAATATGTCAGCAGCCTTTTATTATTTTGTTTTAATTATTTTAAAATTAGACATTTGATAAACATTTTAAGAAATGAAATCGAAAAATTTGTAAATAAATTGTAACTATTTTTAAAAGAATCTCTTTTATTTATATGCTATTAAGAAAAATATAAAAGAAATGGTCTGAATTAAGTTGTAAAGCAACAGACATCAGTTTTTATCAGGCTAAGGATAAGTGCATGGTGAGACGGTTCTACGTTACCGGCATTGACCAGGCTTTTTTTTATGCGGCCAAGGCCTATTATTTCGGCGAACCAACCCTGTTAAAAAAATAATAATAATAATATAAGACTGAAGGCTTCAAGAAAAAAGAAAACACAAACAAAGAGTAATAAAAAAACGTTAATTTCGACTGCGCCGAAGCTATATCAGCCTTCATACGTACATTTCTTATAGCATCAAAGAGTATTAAAAGATCTTTGTGTTGATTTTGATCGGTCAGGTTTTATGACAGCAATATGATATAGTGGTGCGTTCTGAACAACTGCTTTGGAGAATAATTCATGCTAAATTTCGAGAAAATATCGTTTCAATTAATAATAACCCAACGATTAACCTCCTCCCGCCCAACCGACGCGAGGGGCGCAATCCGCATACGTGCTGAATTAGCCGAGTCAGAAAAGGCAAGAGAGTTTTTTAAGTGTTGAGATCTAAAACTGCTCAGCTACAGAAACAAAAATTTCAACAGCTAAGATCTAAAGTTACAATATAATAAATTGTTACATTTTCATTTATTAAGAGAAAACAATAAAGTCTTTTTAATTTTAAAAAGTGAGTCAGATAAGTCAAATGTGCTGGAATGAGAATTAAAATCATGACATATACGGCGGAATGGCTCGTTTAGTTCAAAATTTGATCTACAGGATTTTAGCAGTAAAGGTCTAAAAAGGTTTACATACAAAGACTTGATTTTGATCATTCAGTTTGCATGGCAGCTATATGCTGTAATGGTCCGATAACGGCGATTCCGACAAATGAGCAGCTTGTTGGGGAGAACAGGACGTGTGCAAAAGTTCACTACACTTCCTGGTTACCTGTTACAAACTAAAAATACTCTGTTCAAAGTATAATTAGGCACGTACGTAGATGAATTTTTATCTGAACAAGAACTGGCAACTCGACAGCATTCCTTAAATATTGTTTGGGAGGAAAGATTTTGATTTTGCTTTAGCGGTTATCAAAGCCATCTTTAGGGGAAAGATAAGCAAGTTATCTTTGAGTTAATTTAAAAGTAGATGCAGGAAACGAACTGTTTTGACGAGATCGAGTCATATTAAAAGGGGTGTTATAAAAGTGGTGCATGCAAAGAGATGATTAGGGTCATGCGGAACGAATTACATGAAGGACATATGTTGGGTGTGTCAGGGTCTAAATTAGATAAGTAGTAATTTAGTCTTCTACAATACTCAGAACAATATTGGAGGCAGTTTGACTACAATGACGCTATTTACCGCATTAGGGGCTGATTTGTAAATTCCTTTTAGGGCCTGTCGGAAATGAGTCGCTTCCGAAGTCTGATCGGTCGTCTTGATATTGCTGGAAACCGGCTTACGCACAAACAGGACTTTACTGGGAGTATGCAAGCCTCTGTGTTCAGCCGGAGACATCAATGGCATCCTGGAATTGTGCAGATTGCATTGCTTTGACAACGAACATATTGGGGCAGTGTTGTATAAACTAGGATAGAGGGAAAAAAAAACATTTTTTTTTTCTTAGCCTGAGGGCTGTAGTTTATAAAAAAGAAAACTTTTTGACAAAAAGCATCATAGAAGCTCAGTTTTAAAGTAAATTTTCGAGTTAAAATTTTTATCTCATAAAAAATGTTCGATAAGTGTTCTAGAAGCTGTGGAGAGTCCTCTTTCTGCCAATTAGAAGTTATCAACTTTAAATTTTTTTTTGTGGACATTGTTGGAGTTTTAAAAAAAGTCTTAAAAGACAACATGCTTTCCTTAAGCGTTAAAATAAATTTTGAACCGTGAAAAAACCGTCACATTCGGTAATTTTTATATAAATGTAAAGAGTTTAAACCAAAAATAATTTTTTTTTGTCCAAAAATTTTCTTTTTTATAATCTACAAATTTTATCCTCAGGTTAAGAAAAAAAAAATTTTTCGCTCCACCCTAGTATATTGCCAACCGGAGCGATTGGTTAGTAAGTAGTTAACAACGTCTCTTAGTTCTTTTTTTAAAGTGCTGCGGGCTAGCGATTTGAGGATCTTGTCCCAAATGCTTTGAGTGGTTTAGTAGATCTGAAACGTTTCCATTATCAGGAGCAATATCCATCCCACGGTCACCAGGAACATGTCCACATGCAAGAGTTCATTTAATTATGTGCATATGTCTCACTTTTACGACCACGGGCGAATGAAACGAACCCACTAAGTGGCATAAACTCTTTATTGATATAGGCGCTCTCTTGTACTTTCTTTATCAGCAACAAACTGCAGTCTAGGGTGACCAGAGATTAAACTAGGGTCTTTCAACTTCATTACCTGAAACAATAGCCATCTTACGTCACCAAAAAGGTGCCAACACATTAGAATTCCCCATGATGTATTTTGAATATCCGTATATGGTTTTGCATGCTTTGACACTCATTTACGAGTGGAGTGCGTTTCCTAGGACGGCTTGTTAATACACAATTTGGCCATCATATTCAAAATTTTCTTTCTTAGACTTACTTATTCCATTCCTTTATCAATATTATTATAGTATAAATATTATTAGAATATAAATGTAAAATTATTTTATTGTCTCCAAACTCATTTTTAACGTCATCTTCACCAAAAATTAAAAATATTTATAAACTTTTATAAATCACATACAAAGAGCACCATATAACCAACCATTTATAAAAAATATAATTTGAGACTTGGAAGTAGAAACATAATTGAGCTAAGTTATGTACATATGCTCTTCTGAATTCATTCATTTATTTGTCTTTATTTCCGCCCTCCTGCTTCTCCTGAAGACGGCGTCGGCGACGTGCAATGTAGACCACCCAAAGGAAGGACACAATACTCATTGTGACCGTGCGTAACTAATAATGTGAGAATATTATACTATTATACTTTTACTTAACTGTATATGTTTATTAAAACATACCATTGGTGGCACGAATGCCATATTAAGAAACACTGGTATCGATAAATATTGCCAATTGGCGCGAAGTAGTGGCCAATATAGTTTCTTTAGATTAGCTACAGCTACTTCATTGGTATTCATCTATGAAATATGGAACGTTAGTGTAAATATTAACATGAAATTGTTATAAAATTAGCTGCAAAAATTTCAATTACCTCAAATATGGAGAGGAAATAGAGTGAGACTAGTTGATAGAATGGTGCAAATATTAGACGTTCCGATAGAAACTGGAAGAAACGACGGAATTTCATATCATGTTTGAATAGCCGCTCAACAGTTTGATAGAAATAATGTGGCACAGTACCACCAAATATTAACCTAAAAACAACAAATAAAAGTAATAAATAATATAAATAAAAACAAATGGTGTTTACTAAAAAATAATTTAACATATGTATGTATGCATTTTTGTATCATGTATATACATTTGTATACATAGTAAAGTTATTCTACGTATTATCAGAGAACGTAAATGAATGACATTAAGAGATAAGATTTAAATGATAAGAAAAACAATTGTTACTTACCCAAAGAGGCCATATGCTATGACACTTTCCTGATTGACCTTCTTTTGTCCAGCTATACGCTGGGATGTGTAATTTGCCGATGCCGCTAGTATAGAGCTAAAAATTATTACCGTTAAATAAAATATACGTTCAGAACACTTCTATATATATATATAAATACATTTTAAGTATGTGCAATGTACGAATATTTACCTGGTTATGGATTTAGTGCGCACTGGGTGATTAAATAGTTGCTCTAAATAGACTCCGAGCAACGAATAAATAGGCTTGGAGAGTGACATGATGATGTATGCAAAGTATTTGCTTAATTATGCTGCAATATTCTCAAATTATAACTCTATGAAACACAAAAATAATTGCATTAGTTGCAAATTTTTAAGAAAATAACCGGTTAAGATATAAAGTTATTAGAAGATTCCAATAAACGTTCAAAGAGCAAAGGCCGGTTTGATAAAATAGATAAAAAAAAGCCTTTTACTTTCCTTCATTAACTTACCAATTTATGTGCTTGTTTCTACAAATAAAACTGCACTTATTTGCAAATAAAATTGAAATGAAAAAGGAAACTACGATCTGGAGAAGTAATAAAGTGGTTTATGTAGTTATTGCCCATTCAGTCTTATCGGAATTCTAGTATAAAGTCAAACTAACTTGCATTGAGCCCAATAAGACTTTTACAGGGTTGCATTTTAGAATAAACGTATTAACAATACGTTTTTAAAATAGTATCTAAAGAAAATATATTTCTCTTTCAAAATTATAAAAATTAAATATGTAAATTTCGGTGCAAACATCTTAAAATATAGCACTATTGACCTGTTATGTGAACAAAAACCGTTGAGCCATTTGAAAAACAACCCTGGGTATAGAAAAAATTAGGTGTAGAAATAGACAAACTGACATTGACATATTGGCGTGTAGTTATTTATATGGCTATTGTTTTTTATTAACAGATTCCATTGACAGAATTAAGTGTTCCTCGTATAATTTGTGCAACATCAACAGTCAAAAAATAAAAATAGAATCTATTAAAATACAAAAAAAGTTTTTTTCAAGCAAAACTATGCAGAGTTTAAGCAGTGATTTGTAGGCTAATCAAGTCATCAACGCTTTTTGATTTTATTGGCAGATTTTGTGAACTTGGATGAGAAGGCCAAGAAAATTGTCAGGTGTTCGCTATTGTCATTAGTACTTTCCCTGGTGGCGGTGATTAACTGAAGTAAAACTGTGGGTAAGTAAATGACACATTTGTATATTGTATTATTTTAATATATTTTACGTATCAATATTTACTTGCAGATATAATATACTCCGACACTCTTCACTATCAAAATGTATTGCCTGCAATGTTTGTTGCCAGTGCTACTTATACCGAAGCCAACAAACCCTGCGCTCATGGAAACGCATGTTATGTTCATCGTACTCTACCTAATTGGCTTTTTCCTAGAGCGAAAACCGTGCACCATCTGTAGTTTAATATTTTTAACAGCCGTGTTCCTTATTTGTTATAGTGGTGTGGGAAATTGTATATTTTGGGGCAACTGCGAGGGACATCAATGTGAAAATGGATAGAAAAATACGAAGCTGCCATTCTAAGCTAAATGGATACTCAATGCATAATAAACTTAGCATTATTAAATGCTATCGTGCTATAAACAACTTTGGGTGTCCCCTTAGTTAAGAAATATACATATATATATTTCTTTTCATTAGATAACTAGTATTGTTTTGTTGTTTTAAATGTTGCTGTGTTATAGCGCTCTTAAAATAATTTAAATAATAATATCATACTTTTTAACGAAAAAGTCTATAAAGCTATATCAGTTGTAATAAGCGGGATTATGTAGAGATAACCCTTTATATGAATTAATTTTCAAACTTCAATTTTGTCTAATAAAAAAACCAGCGTAACCGTGAAACTACGTATGTTTACGCATCAATATTTACGAAACAACTTCTAATAGATTTTCTTTAAATTGTAATTGTATTTGCATTAATACAAGTAAACATAAGTTTGGTTGATAACTCGTTTGCTTATCTCAATTAGTTGGTATGGGGTGTATGAAAGACAATAGAAAAGCATAAAATTTCACATATTCAAGCAACAGAATCAACGAATCACATTTGTAATCATTATAAAAACCAAATAAAAATCTTAAATAATTTATGTTATTTCTAGTAAGAAAAGGTAGCTAGATTTGCAAATTTGTAAACATCAGTTTAAAAACTTCTTTTGTCTTTCAATTATCACTTTGCCAAATGTACTAAATATTTGTTATTTACCATACGAATAGTATAAAAGTTATTAGTTAATACAAATGGACAATATTTTTAATATTTTAAATCCGCAACGAAAGTCCATACATTTGGTTGTATTTTCGAGGTACCTATGTATGTATAGCTAGAAATTTTAACATAATTGACAATACAATTTATTTCTGCGAACTCGCATGCTTCACAAAACATACAAAATAACTCAATATTGAACTATTTATGATTATTATGTGTATTTTACAACAGAATTGTTAATACGAGCTATCGTTATCCTTATTATTATAAAATACTGGAACGCACATTTATATTGATATTTATTTATTTACGTAACTAGATATAATTTAATTTAACAACTATTTTACATGAATACATATAACGATTAAAATACATTTAAAATATATTCTGAATTTGTGATTTGCCTGCTACAAATTATTATATTATAAATTTAGCATTTCAAAAGTAAATCATTACCAAAATCAAATTTTGGAAGTTCGATAGAGCACGATGTGAAATCATCTTTGCTGAAATCTTCCAAATACAAATAAGGTTTCTCGTATTTTGCTAGCGAATTGCTTTCATCCTCTTTAGGCTCACAAAAATCCTCAGCATCGCTATTCGACGCTTCATCTGAATCTCTGAGGGGTGCACCGTTTCTTATTCTCTCCACTACCTTTAACAAGGCAACTTCATCAATACCATTATATTCTGACCATATTTCTGCATTACTTTTGCCGCAACTTTTTGTACAACATGCTTTTGGAAAATCAAACAAGTCGAATAGTTCAATAGGATCTACTGAAAATTTCTTTACGTCATTCTGAATGCACAAACGTTTTTTTGCTATACTGTTTTTAAATGTATCCAATTGATTTTCTTTTAAACCACCTTTTAGCGGAGTTATGCCCATTTGATTGTGCATTACATTTTTCAACTCGCCAAAAACCTGCTTCTTTTTTACAGAATGTACTCTTGGATGAGTCTGCTGTAGTTTTGCTGATACAAATTTGTTCTCGTCCACAAAGGTGCGCTTATCATGCCAAATATTTGCCATTTTTATGATCGTATTTACGATTTGTTTTCTTCAATATACTCAAATCTTTTTAGAAAAGAAATCCACCGTATAGGCGCCAACTTAATAAATTTGCTTTTTGAAATCAGTTATAGCGATGAAATTGTTTTTGCTTTGCTTATGTCAAAATCAGAGTTGCTTTTAAGCGCCACCAGATTTTGTTCGTTTCTATAGTTGCCATCCCTATATATTTAATTAATGTTGAGAAAAGATTGTGTAGATCATTAACTTAACAAACACAAATTTTATCGAACAAGTCTTTTGGAAATTAATTACTTTCATTCACTGTCATTTAATTTCTACAAAATTACTAAAATTTTAATAACTTCCAACGCAATTTACTTATTTCTCTAAATTTACTATTTCCACTCAACAGGTGAAATTCAGCGGCTGTCTGTGGCTTTGACTCTACAATATGTTGGTATATCCATCTCTTTCTCTCGCCCGACATACGCATATGCCACAATATAACTAACTTATATAAAAGTCCTTATGTGTATTTTTATTTTTATATTTTAAATTTTTATTATTTACAAATTTTGTTTGCACTTTTATTGCTGATTTTTATTACTATATATGTATTTCTAAAAAACCTTTGCAAAAATTATTTAACTTTTATTTTCGATAACGGCTGGTATCGATTCTTAACCGATATAAAAAATGGTTACGCTACTGTTTGATTTGGATGTGCCGTTAAATGTAAAGAATTCAAACGATTTTCTTACAATAATTTAATTCTTTTAAAATATTAGCGTTTGTTTAATAAAATAGTTTTATCGTTGTTCAAGTCATAAAAATTTATTGCAAATGCATAATTAAATGCGAAGACAAAAATTTCCGTATGCTCAAGTGGGACACTATTTTACTCACTTGAGAACCTCAGGTCACCCTTTCTTAGCCAATCAGAAAGGTATACCTTACTGTCTGCTACTATGTGCTGTTACTGAATACCTCCTCTAGAAAACGGTAAACCAATAGTCAATGGAAAGCGGCTCACTGCGCTGTGCATAACGATAGCTTTAAGAACCACCCCAATGGACGCACTTGAAGTAATACTAAACCTGCCACCTATAAACCTCCTCACTGATAACTGCGCGCGGTAAAATCGGCGTGACAGGCGACAAGAGAAATTATGGTACATATAGATATTTCGGCATAGCTAAGTAAGGGTAATGGTAGTTTAGCAGGCACCGACGACATGATCTCATTTTTCTATAGAGAAAGAACTCCAGGAAAACTTGCAGTAAAAAAATAATGACAAATCACATTTCGCAACAAATATTTATATTTCTTTTAATATTTTATAGTTTTTTTTCTTACATCATATACATTAAATGGACTTATTGCTAAATTATAATTAGTTTACATTTTTTAAAACTTAATTTTGTATACGTATTTCTTTAAGTTATTGGAATTATATAATAAAGAGTTGTGTACGTGCTTGAAATATCAATGGAACAAACGAAATTTCTTTCATAAAATAACAAAGCGTTTTCTTTTTAAAATATGTACTTGACTAGTAGCGTTTTCATTTCTATTAACGTATGTATGTTTATGCGCTAAATCTAAAAAATAACAGGACTAGAATGATTGCATAGGACTAGAAATAAATAATACTCATGCTTAGAGCCTTGCACTTTTTCACGTTTTCAACTTGAACACACATCATTGTGTTTGCAATTCTGCGCACCGGTAGAGTACGACTCTTTATGTAATGTTTTGTAAAACTTTAAAAAGTTTTTTCTTTAAACCTCAAAATGCCGTCGATGGACTACGGCTGCGCGGCGTTGGTGAACGCGATGGTGAATGTGGGGAACTGTCACGACTGTAGCAGCTCGAACAGAAGCTGGAGGCATCCGATGGCGTTTTTCGATGATACGGGATCGGACGCTTGCGGGCGCTAAATGAATTGAGAGAAATGCATAGCGTTAATATAACAATAACAATATTGTAGAGTTAGTGACATGAAATAAAAATCAAGGAATGAAATGAAACTTACCAAAATCAAATGTAATAATTAGGGACTTAAAGTTCAAGTATCTAAAGAAAATAAATGTTTATTAAATTAAAAATAACAATATTATACAAATTAAATCACAATCGTAATGAAAAAAAAACTTACCAAAAAATGCTAAAAATTATAAAGAAAAAACAAGTTAATGAACCTCGGTTGCACCGAAGCTATAATACCCTTAACAGGTGCATTTCTTATAGCATAAAAGAGTAAAAAAAGATCTTTATCTTGATTTTGAACGGTTAATTTATATGGCAGCTTATGCTATAGTGGTCCGATTTTAACAAATTCTTCGAAGATTGCACCGTTGCCTGGGACAATAATAGGCGTTAAACGTCCTGAAGATATCTTGTCAAATAAAAAAGTTTGTTATGCAAGAACTTTATTCCGATCGTTCAGTTTGTATGACAGCTATAAGCAATAGTAGTCCGATATCGGCGGTTACGAAAAATTAGCAGCTTCTTTAGAACGTGTACTAAATTTCAGATCGATATCTCAAAAAGTAGTTCACGTATATACACACAGGCGGACGGACGGACATGACTAAATCGGATCAGCTCGTCAAGCTGATCATATCGGGTCTCCGACATTTCCTTCTTAGTGGCACACTGTTCAGGGTATAAAAACGAACTTACATTTGCTTGATGAAAAAAATTTCTGCATACCAAATGAAAAAGTTTCGCTTTGGTGAACACATTGCATTTACAAAATAAAATTTTAAATTACACATCTTTATTTATGAATAGCATAGGTGAAAGCATAATGAGAGGAAGAAAGCTGAATGATTTTAAAAATTCCATTAAGTAATATTGCGTGAAAGTACAAAACAATATATGTATATATGTATGTACATACAGATAGTAATGACGCGTACAGGATCGAATAAAAGTTCAAAACTACTATATAGTATAAATATGTACGTGAGTAAACAGTTAACACATTGATGTAATAACTTAAATGTTCATAGGATAGGACACAACATGATTGGAAATTTGCTAGGATTGACATTATTGGCAAATGCACTGTTCTCTGGCTTCCATTATTCAAATCAACAGCAAACTCAGGCAATCAATATCTAAACAGAAATTGAAAGCAAATTAACTGAACAAATTGAAATAATGAATAAACAAGTGAAATTATAATTCTGTAGTTTAAATATATATATTTATTTATATATATGTATGTATATGCAGCCAAGCCTAACGCCTGCGGCGTTCGCGAGATGGTTCGCGTCTTCTGCTACAAATGAAAATAAAAAGAAATTATATACAAAATATGTAATAAAAAGAAATACAGTAATAAGAATACTAATAATAATCAGATCAGATAATATAATAAATAAATATGCAAGACAAAAGGAAGGGCTATAATAGAAGTAAAATTATAAGCGAGTTTTTGAGGTTATGCACCTTGTTATGCGACGGCGGTCGAGAAAACTGGGAGATCCACGCCTTCGCGGAATTGATGGTGAACGTGAGCCAGTACGGGAGGAAGCGGAACTGCCAGAACTAGAAATATAATATTTTTTATAGAATGATATTTGAATAAACAACGTAAAAAACTGTTCTTTTTTTAATCTGATCAAATCTGACCTGGACTGACTAATTTAAACCGCGCACAAATCGAATCGATAATTTTTTTTCCGATATTGACGATTTTTTTTTTAATTTCGTGTGAATTTTGATCTTCATATGTCAACTAGTGTGTGTGTGTTTGGTAGCTGTTTGTGTGCGACGCAAAAAGGTTGTCTGGCGATTTTTACCATGAAAAAAAAATTTTATGTTTCTAATGGAATCACGGCACGAAAATATTGGAAAAGTGTTTTGCGGAATCTACTTTATCATAAACACAAGTATTTGAGTGGCACAAAGCATTGAGTAAAGGTCGTGAAGTCATCGCAAATTCCATGCGAGTCGTCCATCCACCTCTGTTACTGACGAGAATATCGAGAAAACTAAATAAACATTGCTTGAAACTCGTCGTGTCAGCATGAGAGAGATAGCAGAGAATCTCAAGATACCTAATGGAAACTGACCAAGAAAATAGCGAATGGCGCTCCTAAAATGAGCCGTAACCGAAAAAATCCAAGTTGGCTTAAGGGATTACGAATTTTTTTATCTCTTTTAATTCTCTAACATCTCTCGAATATTGTCCTAAATGCCCAAGTTGACCCGAATAATAGTTTTAGAGGTACAGTTGCAAAGGTTTTTTTGTAAAAATGCAATTTTCACTTTTTATTTTTTTTCCTTCGTCCAATACCTAGCTTATGATAATTTATTTAAAACACGATGTTTGTAACACCCAAAAAGAAACGTCAGACACCCTAAAAAGTATTGTATATATAATAATGTCTGTATATTATATACGAATTAGTCCCTCAGTTTTTGAGATATCGATCTGAAATTTTGCACCAGTCCTTTTCTTACCAAGAAGCTGCTTATTTATCGAAACCGCCGATATCGGACCACTATAGCTTATAGCTGTAATACAAACTGAACGATCGGAATATAGTGCTTGTATGGCAAGCTTTTTCATTTGACGAGATATCTGCACGAAATTCGGCATGGATTATTACCTAAGGCAATGGTGCAATCTCCGAAGAAATTGTTCAGTTCGAGTTCGATTATAGCATATAGCTGCCACACAAACTGACCGATCAAAGTTTCTGTAAGGAATATTTTTTTTTTTTTGTGAAGGGTATTATAGCTTGGGTGCAACCGAAGTTAACGTTTATTCTTGTTTTGCTTCATATGATCCTGTAAGAAGTTCTGCTTTCAACTCAGAGAGCCTTCCGGTAATGACGTCTTAATGCCCGAGTTTTGAATATTTCTCTTTGAAAATTTTACAAAATCTTTGTAAAATATGTAACTTTGGAATAATATAATGTTTAAAAAAAAAATTAAATTTTTATATGAAAAAAGAATATTGAAAATAGGCCGTTTTGTGCTCGAGAAAACACATGTAACCCCTTAAGACCATTCTAGCCGAGGCTTATAAGTGTTACATGCTTGTATTGGCTCAACGGAAGCGTATTTTGAAGGCGATAATAAAAATTTGTATTAAAATATGTGAAAATTAAGTTTTCTTTTACCACTCCGGGTCAAATTTGATCAAATGGTATATAGGGGTTGCTTTCAATGTTTCGCCTACCTTGATGAGCTACGTGAA